AAGTTGGCTGGGTTCCCAACAGGAACCAAGGCCAACCAGCACTGGTGCCCACCTCCTGCTTTGTGCCCGCCAGCCTTCCAGGTGTGGGCAGTTTGGCCCCCACCCACCCTAGGCTGCCCTTCCTCCCTTCTCGCAGGCTCCAACCGGGAGAATGCTAACTTGGAAGCAAAGCTGATGTCTACTTTCCAGAAGCCGCTGCTCTGGGTGCCGTGTATTCTTTCCTTCTTTCCTGGGCACCACCTGTGCTCCTGGGCACCAATTCTACAGCAGGTGCCAGGCAGCGGGCCACAGCAAGAATGAAGAGGCGTGGTTCCTGCTTTTTGGGGTTCATGCCATTCCCTGCGGTGGTCCCAGACAAGCCTGGGTTTGGGGCCTATCCAAGAACAAGGATGCTCAGTGGGATACCAGGGCGGGCAGCAGCCCCTGGGAGCTGTGATAGGCAGGTCCTCCCCCCTGTGCAATGTGGGGTGAGGCCCAGCACCCGTGGCTTCACCAGGCCTCCAGTGCCAGGGACAATGCAGCTTGCAAACCCTATGGGAAGCCTGAGCTGTCAGAAGACACTGGCAGAGCCACCCTCTATGCCTCTCCATGCCTCTGGCAAGACAACAAAACATGGGGCTTAAAAGAGCATTTTGTATACAGTTTGGGTCCAGACTTACCCAGGACTGACTGCCCAGGACAGTGGACCAGAGGGACCCACCTTCTGGTCAGTCTTGGGGGCTTCAGCCAGCTCTAGGCTGCAGACCCCCACAGATGTCAACACTGCCACCCCCTCTCTCTGTGTGAGGGGCATCGACTCAGCACGCCAAGCCCATGGGCCTCCTAGTGTGGACAGCCTCCATTTCCCCTTCCCTGCTGACTCTCTGGGGTTCCTGACCTCCAGCACGATCCCTCTTTCCACCCGCCAGCACTCACCTCATTTCAATGCGGGGGGAGAACCGGTACATATAGATGTGCCCATAGAGTCGCAGCTCCTGGGCAAACTCGGGGGCCAGCAGCTTCTGGATGTCCGGGGGGAAGTAGCGCAGGGCATTCCTTAGTGCCAGCTAGAGGAGGAGAGTGGTGAGGGGCATCAGGGGCAGGGGCTCCGGGCCGAGCATCCTGAGGCTCC